TTCAGTTCCAACGGAAGGATTACAGGATAATAGAACAGGTATTTATTCAATGATTATAGTCAAAATTATGGAGGCTAAAAGGGTGGCTCGGAATAAGCACATTCACTTCCATCGATTATTCGTTTGTATTGCTGTAGCCATTTAGTTAATCTCACTTTTATTGATGAAAACACTAGACCAAAGTGAATCTTCGAAATCACTTGAATACAAACCATTTGCGACAGTTTGGTGAAAGACAGTTCAATTTAACAAGGTCTTGTCACCTCAACGCCTATCTTCAGGAGAACATGCTAAAATTGGAAATAGATTGCTTCCTTTTCCGGAGGCAGTTGATTTGATAGTTTACGTTTCTTTGCATTAGCACAGGTGAGGTGATGGCAGCCTTGTTGTAGTCTCGAATATTATCTGACTGCCACGACAGCGAACGCCCTTACAGGGCTTGCCAATCTGGACAGCACCTCTGTCGCTCCACGATGCTGCTCCTTACGACGGGCTTGCTAAAAGACAAACTTGTTTTTCCTTTCACCAGATGTATAGCTCCACTGATTTTTAATGTTTGACCTCAGAATTCGTGAACAAATGTCTCTTATTACTTGAGATCAAAGTTTCATTGATTCCTTCTCTGAGCTGTTTCGCTTTGCATGCTGTTTTTGTTGTTTATTTAGGGTGGAGCACTTAGACCATGAGCTCATTTGTCTTCAAGTGATTTTTGGCAGGAGATAATGCAGAGATGGTCAATGATGGAAATAAGCTTAAGTGCGTACGCTGAACACAGATGATCAAAATGCGAGCTGTGGTCACCAGGGTAACAGCCATCGTCAAACAGGACCATATGCTGAAATGAAGCTATTGACGCGCGGATGAATTATTCCCTAAAGTCGCTTATATCGCAGACGATGCCCTGCGCCAGATGCTCCTCTCATCTTAACAACGAATCGGCTTTCGCGCCATACTCAATCATTCGCGTTGAAATTCTCCTCTAGGGGAAAATGCAGGTCGCTCAGCAGTGTCGTCCTGTTGAGTGCCAAGATTACGACAGCAGATTTCCTCTCAGTACTGAGATTGTCTCATCCAAGCGTTGTTTGTCTGTTCATATTAAATGATTAAAACTGATGCATTCAGTTACGACGAGATGTAGTCGATCAAGCGGGTTTGCTATGCTGCTCAGCAGAGGAAAGCCTGGTTTCACAAATGCATCTTTTTGAACAGAACAGCTTTGAGAATATAATTATGACCGCATGTGTTTTGCTACGGCAATTAACGGGAAGTGTTTAATTTGAAAAATGGTCCAGGTTTATTTAGATGGCGTTTTGAAAATTATCTTTATATAATAAACATTGGAGTGGAATCAGTTTTTTGCCGTAAAAGTTCTAACGTGGCATCACGAGTTGTGGCTGAGGAAGGTGGTCATTAACGACTTGATTAAGGGAGCTCACATAACATAACAGAGCATTGCCATAAGCCATGACTGCAGTCTCAAAAACCAGCGTGGTTACTCTGCTACCACATGAAGAATCGAACCTTCTATAGATGGAAACGAAAGTCATGAAAATAGGCTGTCATAAGGTCTTGAAAATTTGTTTTGAGCATCACGCAAAAAGGAATTCAGGAACT